CAATGTTACACTTCCACCTGATAATTTCACACAAATCAAGCAGCTCCTGATTCAGAGCAAGACAAATGGTCTGAAACAATCTGGTTTAATGTGGTATTTATGTCTTACTGACAAACTAAATTCAATGGGCTTTATTAAGTCTGAAACTGATGAGTGCGTGTTCACAAAATGATCTAACAATGCATATGAGATAGTTCTTGTTTATGTTGATGATATTGTTTATATTGGTCCAAATAAGCAAATGAGTGAAATTTTTGCCAAAGCTTTGCAGAGATACTTCACATTGAAATCATTGGGTCACATTAGCACTTATTTAGGTATTCAGATTGAAAAAACACAGAAGGGGTTTAGTCTTTCACAAGAAGATAAAATTGAACAAATTTTGCATCATTGCAACATGAAGGATGCTAACACAACAAAGACACCCATGCAAACAGATTTTCACAACTTGACACAAGAAGCAAGTCCTGAGTTCGAGGATCAAACACTTTATCGTTCAGTCACTATTGTACATTAGTAGTTGGACCAGACCCGACATTGCACTTAGTGTTAATCTCTTATCATGACACGTAGGTAAGGCAAAACAGTTTCATTGGACATGTATTAAGAAATTATTGAGATACCTAAAATACACTAAACACATGAAATTATTGTTAGAACCAACACATACTGATTATGCAGAATTATGTTGTTATGCAGATTCTGATTGGGCAAGTGATAAGAAATCACGTAAAAGTACTTCAGGTTATATGATGTTCTTAAATGGATGTCCTGTTTATTGGCAAGTACGTAAACAGAATTTTGTTTCTTGTTCATCTACTGAAGCTGAATATGCTTGTGTTTCAGATGCATGTAATTCTCTAACTTGGTTTGATGCTTTAGTCACAGATATCTGGACACACCCGATCCGACCGATCACCGTGATGGAAGACAATGAATCGGTGGTTTATATTTCTGAATCACATTTCACAGGTTCTAGGTCCAGACACATTGACATTCGTTACCAAAACATAAAACATTAATGAAAAAAGGTTTTGTTAAAATGCAATATGTATCTACACATGATCAAATTGCTGATATGCTCAACAAATCACTTCCAGCAGCTCAACATGAGTATCTGCATAAGAAGATGTGCCTTATTTGATGATGTACTGATATTCACTCAATTGGCAAAGAAGGGGAATGTCACTGTGTTTTTTTTATTTCCCAGCTGAGCTTCATTATTTTTGGACTAATAGACTTACTGTAGTTTGCCAAGTTCCTTATCAGTATTTTACTACGCATATCCGCATTCTTTCACATTCCTTCACACACTCTTTCCGTTGTTCTCTTGCCAGCAAGGTCCGGCTGAGAAATAGCCGGCAAGAATTATTTCAAAAATGTAGCAATTACTTTTCTTAGTTAGTGAGGTGTTTTATTTTCTTTATAACAAATAAATGAGTTTTATTAGAAATTTTTCTTTGCGTTTTTTTTTCAGAATATTGCAACAAGGAATAAGCCTCAATCCATCCTCTAAACCAGGGTGATTTTTCCCAGAGCCAAACATGGGATTAATCAACGTCCTGACATTGTGTGTTGGTTGCCTGTCACAAAGCATAGAAAGCAAATATATAATCTCTGTTCCAAGAAAGCATCCTAGCTTTCTTTCCTTTTTACAAGAGACTTGGACAGTGAGCTGAATGCTCGATGCAGTTATCCATGCCACCATTTCCCCCCTCATTTTACAAATTTCTCTGGAGACCACATATGGAATTTTTGTTGCCTTCGTCTACTGCTAGTCCTCGATTTACGACCACAATTGAGCTCAATATTTCTGTTGCTCTACCAAGGCAGTGGTTAAGTGAGTCAGGTCCCATTTTATGACCTTTCTTGTTGCAGTTGTTAAGTGAATCATTACAAGATACTAACTTGTCAAGTTAATAACACAGTTGTTAAGTGATTCTGGCTTTTCCACTGACTTTGTCAGAAGGTCACAAAAGGTGATCAATGATCCTTGGACACCACAACTGTCACAAGTACATGCCAGTTGCCAAGCACCAAGTTTTGATCACGTGACCATAGGGATGCTGCAAAAGTAGTGCGTTCAAAACTTTTTTCACTGCCATTGCAACAAATGGTCATGAAACAAATGGTTGTAAGTTGAGGACTACCTGCGTTGACTCCTGATGAATGCCTGGTCCAGTTCCTGTGGTTTTTCTTGTCAAGATTTCCTAAGGGCTTTGCCCTTGCCTCCTTCATATGGCCGAGAAAGAGGGACAGGCTCAAGTTCACCCAGCTGGCCTGGTGCCTAAGGTGAAACTAGAACGCACAGCCTCCTGATTTCTAGCCTGATATCTTAACTGTCGGTGCCTTATGTTGTAAGCCACCATAGTCATTGGATATGGGATGTTTGGCAGATAAATTTAATAACTAAGGAAGGAAGGAAGAAGGAAGGAAGGAAGGAAGGAGGAAGGAAGGAAGGAAGGAAGGAAGTATGTAAGGAAGAAAGGAAGGAAATAAGTAAGTAAGGAAATAAGTAAATAAGTAAGTAAGTAAGTAAGTAAATAAGTAAGTAAATAAATAAGTAAGTAAGTAAATAAGTAAGTAAGTAAACAAGTAAATAAGTAAATAAATAAGTAAATAAGTAAGTAAGTAAATAAATAAGTAAGTAAATAAGTAAGTAAGTAAATAAGTAGGTAAGTAAATAAATAAGTAAATACGTAAGTAAATAAGTAAATATGTAAATAAGTAAGTAAATAAGTAAGTAAGTAAGTAAATAAGTAAATAAGTAAGTAAGTAAATAAGTAAGTAAATAAATAAGTAAGTAAGTAAATAAGTAAGTAAGTAAACAAGTAAATAAGTAAGTAAGTAAATAAATAAGTAAATAAGTAAGTAAGTAAATAAATAAGTAAGTAAATAAGTAAGTAAGTAAATAAGTAGGTAAGTAAATAAATAAGTAAATACGTAAGTAAATAAGTAAATAAGTAAATAAACAAGTAAATAAGTAAGTAAATAAGTAAATAAGTAAGTAAATAAATAAGTAGTAAGTAAATAAGTAAGTAAGTAAATAAGTAAGTAAGTAAATAAGTAAAGTAAGTAAGTAAATAAGTAAGTAAATAAGTAAATAAATAAGTAGTAAGTAAGTAAGTAAGTAAATAAGTAAGTAAGTAAATAAGTAAAGTAAGTAAGTAAATAAGTAAGTAAATAAGTAAATAAATAAGTAGTAAGTAAGTAAGTAAGTAAATAAGTAAGTAAGTAAATAAGTAAAGTAAGTAAGTAAATAAGTAAGTAAATAAGTAAATAAGTAAGTAAGTAAGTAAGTAAATAAGTAAGTAAATAAAATAAAGTAAGTAAGTAAGTAAATAAGTAAGTAAGTAAACAAGTAAATAAGTAAATAAATAAGTAAATAAGTAAGTAAGTAAGTAAATAAATAAGTAAGTAAATAAGTAAGTAAGTAAATAAGTAGGTAAGTAAATAAATAAGTAAATACGTAAGTAAATAAGTAAATATGTAAATAAGTAAGTAAATAAGTAAGTAAGTAAGTAAATAAGTAAATAAGTAAGTAAGTAAATAAGTAGGTAAGTAAATAAATAAGTAAGTAAGTAAATAAGTAAGTAAGTAAACAAGTAAATAAGTAAGTAAGTAAATAAATAAGTAAATAAGTAAGTAAGTAAATAAATAAGTAAGTAAATAAGTAAGTAAGTAAATAAGTAGGTAAGTAAATAAATAAGTAAATACGTAAGTAAATAAGTAAATAAGTAAATAAACAAGTAAATAAGTAAGTAAATAAGTAAATAAGTAAGTAAATAAATAAGTAGTAAGTAAATAAGTAAGTAAGTAAATAAGTAAGTAAGTAAATAAGTAAAGTAAGTAAGTAAATAAGTAAGTAAATAAGTAAATAAATAAGTAGTAAGTAAGTAAGTAAGTAAATAAGTGTAGGTAAGTAAATAAATAAGTAAATACGTAAGTAAATAAGTAAATAAGTAAATAAACAAGTAAATAAGTAAGTAAATAAGTAAATAAGTAAGTAAATAAATAAGTAGTAAGTAAATAAGTAAGTAAGTAAATAAGTAAGTAAGTAAATAAGTAAAGTAAGTAAGTAAATAAGTAAGTAAATAAGTAAATAAATAAGTAGTAAGTAAGTAAGTAAGTAAATAAGTAAGTAAGTAAATAAGTAAAGTAAGTAAGTAAATAAGTAAGTAAATAAGTAAATAAGTAAGTAAGTAAGTTAAATAAATAAATAAATAAATAACTGTTATACAAAACTCTCATATGTAAACTAGGGTCATTCTTATAAATAAAGATACTTCTGGAGAATACTGCTTTGCAGTGGTTCAGCTTTCACATTTATCTGCCCATTTTAAATTCAACAGAATTAAAGGCAATGAGGTAAGGACAGTCTTGGGTATCAAATATGGTACCCAGCACGGGCCCATTGGTGTCTATAAGTATCACAATGCTTCTCTCTGGCCTCTCCATAATAGACAATTTACGTTGAAACTTTTTTTCTTCCCTCTAGAGCACTTTTGGCATAACATGTTTGACCAGATCAAGTTGCACAGCCACCTAAGCTTGGTTGGTATTAACTTGGGTAACATAATTTTGTGGTTTAGTGCCTGGATGGTTTATGTTGGTTTAGTGTATTGTGTAAAGTGAGCAAATGGCTTAATCTGCCGACCTTGGTCAGACATTGTTACTGGGAATGAAGCTGATGTCTCCATCCTGTGAGTCCCTGCCACTCAAAATTAATGGTCGCTGACCTGTTAGAAAAACTCAAATAGAACTATTAGCTTCCTTATTTCCCACATCCCCGCCAAACTCCTTGAAAACAGTCACAGGATCCATTGCAATTTTGCTTGTATAGATCACACACACAAGATGAAAGGCACATTCCTAGGCGGTAAATGTTTCTACTGTGTTGGAGAGGATGCCAATTGGCTTGATTGTTGTGCCTGCTTAATCATCACATATAAGCAGTTGGCATCCTCAGATGAAGCAAGCAAATATTGTAAGAACACAAACCAGAAAAGAAGCAAGAACGATATTTCGGCTTTGGCATCAGTTTAAAGATGGAAGTGAGCCAGTTCCTGATTGCTACGGGAATATGCTTTCTGATAGTGCAGTTCACAATACTTCTTTGGACCCGAAGGACATTCCCCCCTGGACCTGTCCCTTTTCCTCTCTTTGGAAGCCTGTGGAGAATCGGATGGAAGATCCGCCAGGATACATTCATGAAGGTATTTTTCTAAATAAGGCAGCAGCAGGTATGTTTGGGACAAGCGTGACAAAAACGACTAGGGTCAATTATGATATAAACTGGAGTCTGATGGATCTGTTTGGCTCTGATGATTGGGAGAACATAGTTGAAGTTTTTAGATAGACGAAGGGCTTTTGTAGGAGTGGTGGTGGAGAAGATCCAGGGAAAAAAGTTTAGGAGAAATTTCCCAAAGGTGTGCATTTTTTGAAGGGATGTCTTCTTTGGTTTTAAAGAATAGAATAGAATAGAATAGGATGGGATGGGATGGGATGGGATGGGATGGGATAAGATAAGATAAGATAAGTTAAGATAAGATAATTTTATTTCTATACCGCCCCTCTCCCGAAGGACTCGGGGTGGTGCATAGCCAAGTAAAAACACAATACAAACATCATAATTAAATTTAAAAATGATTAAAATTCTTACAGTTGCGGCCGAAATTCGTTAAGAACCCAAAAATTTAAAAACTCCAAATTTAAAATATTTGGATAGGATAGAATAGAATAGAATAGAATAGAATAGAATAGAATAGAATAGAATAGAATAGAATAGAATGGGATGGGATGGGATGGGATGGGATGGGATGGGATGGGATGGGATGGAATGGAATGGAATGGAATGGAATGGAATAGAATAGAATAGAATAGAACAGAACAGGACAGGACAGGACAGGACAGGACAGGACAGGACAGGACAGGACAGGACAGAACAGAACAGAACAGAACAGAACAGAATAGAATAGAATATTTATTTATTGGTTCGATTTATATGCCGCCCTTTTCTGGAGACTCAGGGCAGTTTACAATGCATTAAGCAATAGCCTTCATACTTTTGTATATACCTGCTTAGTAGGGCTTTTGCCTCCCTCCCTCAAGCGGTGTTCTTTTTTATACAAAGTCAGCTTATTGCCCCCACAATCCGGGTCCTCATTTTACCTACTTTGAAAGGATGGAAGACTGAGTCAACCTTGAGCCTGGGGAGATTTGAACTCGCAGTAACTGCAGGGAGCGGGTGTTACTTAACAGTGCTTTAGTCTGCTACTCCACCAAGACTCATAGAATTAGAATAGAATAGAATAGAATAGAATAGAATAGAATAGAATAGAATAGAATTTTTTATTGACCAAGTGTGATTGGACACACAAGGAATTTGTCTTTGGTGCATAAGCTCTCAGGGTACATAAAAGAAAAGATACATTAATCAAGAATCATAAATACAACACTTAATGATAGTCATAGGTTACAAATAAGCAAACAGGAAACAATATCAATATAAATCGTAAGGATACCAGCAACAAGGTTACAGTCATACAGTCCTAAGTGGGAGGAGATAGGTGATGGGAACGATGAGAAGATTAATAGTAGTGCAGATTTAGTAAATAGCTTGACAGTGTTGAGGGAATTATTTGTTTAGCAGAGTGATGGCATTTGGGAAGAAAACTATTCTTGTGTCTAGTTGTTCTGGTGTGCTCTGTAGCATCATTTTGAGGGTAGGATTTGCAATAGCAAGGGGTGGGAGGAGAGAATAGGTGTCATTTCAGGACTCGGGATTTTCTTTTAGTCCATCATCTGCTTGTACACCCATCATTAATATTTTTTTTTTTAAATTTGATTTATATGCCGCCCTTCTCCGAAGACTCAGGGCGGCTTACAATGTGCTCAGCAATAGCCTTCATCCTTTTGTATATTTATACAAAGTCAGCTTATTGCCCCCACAACTGGGTCCTCAATTTACCTACCTTAGAAAGGATGGAAGGCTGAGTCAACCTTGAGCCTTGGCAAGATTCGAACCTTGCAGTAATTGCAGGCAGCTGGTCTTAATTACCATCTTAATAACAGGGTGCCTTAAACCCCTGTACTACCAAGGCTCAATTTATAATATTATGTTTATTTGTTTATCATTACCTCAAAGCAGTAATCAAGAATAATTAGATCAATTGATTATTACTTTTTTCAGCCCACAGTAATAACTATCTCCCAAAGTATCTTCTTTTATTCCTTCTTTCTCAATGGGCGGGGTTCAGTATCATACATTATTATGGGGATCACCATTGCACAAGATCTGTACCCTTCCATGTTTGTTTGTTTGTTTATCTGTGTTGCTGAATATGGAATGTCTTGCATCCTATTGTGGGGAAGTATGGAGACAACCTTGAAAAATATGTCTGGCAGCCATTAGGAAAATACAAACTTAGCCCAGAAAAACTGGGTGAGGAAAATGCTCAAGTTCGCTCTTTCCTTGAGTCTCTTTGGTATAAAAGAAAAAGATGGAGAAACATGGTAAGGTTTTTCAAGATTCTGTTATTTAGCATATAGAATAGAATACTTTATTGGCCAAATGTGATTGGACACACAAGGAACTTGTCTCCAGTGATTAGGCTCTCAGTGTATATACAAGCAATTAGTGATAAATCATGATGCCAATCATAAAATACAGGTATCATCAATCATAAGATACAGCATTCAGTGATAGTCATAGGATACTAAATAACCAACATAAATCATAATAGGATACTAAATAAAAGCAAGCAACTTAAATCATGAGATGCAAGCAACAAAGTTATAGTATCAAATGCTAAGGAAATAGGTAATAGGAAAGATGAGAACAATTTTTTTTTTAAAAAAAATTGATTTATATGCCGCCCTTCTCCGAAGACTCAGGGCGGCTTACAATGCGTTAAGCAATAGCCTTCCTCCTGTTGTATATTTTATACAAAGTCAGCTTATTGCTCCCTACAATCTGGGTCCTCATTTTACCTACCTTAGAAAGGATGGAAGGCTGAGTCAACCTTGAGCCTGGTGAGAATTGATCTTGCAGTAATTGCAGGCAGCTGATGTTAATCACAGTGCTTTAGTCTGCCGCGCCACCATTACAATAATAGTAATGCAGCCGTACTACCATAGGTAGTTTGACATCCCAAGGGATAAGTTAATTTTGTGGGAATTAGTTGTTTAGTGGAATGATAGCATGCAATGAGGGGGGGGGGGAACTGTCTTTGTGTCTGGTTGTTTTGGTGTGCAATGCCCTATAGCGTCATCTTGAGGGAAGAAGTTGAAACAGTTTATGTCCAGGATGTGAGGCGTCTGTAGATACTTTCACAGCCCTCTTTCTGGCTCACGCATTATACAGGTCCTCAATGGAAGGCAGGCTGGTTGCAATTATTTTTTATTACAATCCTAACTATCTGTTGAAGTCTGGGTCTGCCTTGTTTGGTTCCTGCGCCAAACCAGACAGTTATAGAGATGCGAATGACAGACGCAATAATTCCTCTGTAGAATTATATCAGCAGCTCCTTTCTCAGCTGGCGCAGAAAGAATATTCTCTGTTGTGCTTTTTTGATGATGCGATGAGTGTAAGTGTGAAAGAAGGTATTAAGCAGTGGTGAGTTGCTATCGGTTTGCCCCGGTTCGGGCGAACTGGTAGCGGCGGCAGCCTCCATCCACCCGCCCGGATGCTTCTGCACACACGAGCTAACCGGTAGCAAACTAAATTGAAACCCACTACTGGTATTAAGTCACTTTTTTCTGAGCCATTGTAGCTTTGAATGGTCACTTCATGAATGGTTGTAAGTTGAGAACTACCTGTAATCAAATGATCTGTCCAGCAAAATTCTAAGCCAGGGATCCCCAACCTTGGGGTTGCGGCCCACTACCAGGCTGCATGAGTGATGGGCAAATCCACGCACCAGTGGTGGGTTCCTCCCGGTTCAGTCCGGTTCGGCCGAGCTGGTAGCGGTGACGATATGACGTCACCGAACCGGTTCTCCCCCCTCCCACCCACCCACGTTATTCTTACCTTTTATTTGGCCCCACCCCCAATCTATTGCTGCCTCCTGAGTCCCAGCTGATGACTAGAGGGAAAAAAACTGTTTAAACTCTTGCCGCAGGGCTTCAAAGGGTCGTCCTACAGCTGATCAGTGTTAAAAGCAAACAAATGAGCCGTGTCATAAGTGCGAGGACTGGTCGTAATTGCAAGGACCTTCCAGAAATGACTCTGACCAGCTAGCCACGCCCACCTAGTCACACGACCTCCAAGCCACACCCACAAAACAAGCCACGCCCACAGAACCGGTAGTAAAAAAAATTAGAACCCACCCCTGCCACGCACATGTGAAGCTCCACTCACACAAGTGATGGGCAAGCATACATGCACGAAGCTTCACTCATGCCAGTGGAGGGCACTTGCGCTCGTGCGTGGAGGTCCATTCACATGACTGGAGCTTCGCGTGCGTACACAAGCGCCCCTCATTCGAAGCTCCATTCCTACTGCTCGCACAAATAGAGCTGTGTGCATGTGGGTGCACGTGCCACTCACATGCTCTCCTCTGTGCCGGGCTGCCAAGGTGGAAAGGTTGGGGAGCACTGTTCTAAGCCATAGGAATTGACTAACTCCAGCTTGTTATGCTAATGTATTTTTTCCTTCATCATCACTTGTATTGGCTAAACATTTAAGGCTTCCAAAAAGACCTACCTCCCTGCTTCAGTTGTGTTGACCTCAGTTTTGCTCTGGTAGAGATTACATCCAGAATCAGCATGAGTGTGTGTGTCCACACGGGCGTAGTTTGTAAGGGACTCCCAGCTCATGTGTGTGCTTGAGCTTCTGCGCATGTGCAGATTGTCCATGATGACATCCGGGCAGATGGGCGGCAGGGATGGGTTTTACTTACCTTTACTACTGGTTTGTAATGGGGTCGTGCGTGTGCCTGCTTCACTTGCTTGCGCACTTCTACGCATGCGCAAAAGCTTCCTGATGACATACAGGTCGGTGGGTGGAGCCTCCCGCCGGTTTTACTACCAGTTCTTACGAACCAGTCTGAACTGGGGGCAACCCATCACTAGTGGGCGGAGCCTCCCACCGCCATTATTGCCTGTTCGCAAGAACCGGATCGAACCAGAAGCAACCCACCACTGCTTCCCTCCACTTCACATGGCTGTCCTCTGAGGACATGGGCATGGTAGATGCAACTTTTCAAGAGGCAGG